AGCAGGCCCAGGGCTCAAGCAACTCTCCTCTGATGCATCATGTTTCTGGGTGAACTTAAGACATCTTTTGAGGAAATATGAAGCGTTTCATGGGCTTTTCCCAATTACCTTTCAACAGCATCCTGGAAGTGCAGGGAGAGCTGTTCCCACATCAGCAATGGGGCTGATTAACTTCCTTCCACCTTCAATGAATGGCTATTGAGCACTCATGGAATACCTTCCGCTGTTCTAGATGTTGGTGGGACAGTGGAGACCCAAGCAGACCTCAGTCCAGCAGGGAAGAGAGTAAGGAAAAGGGTGATTACAATCCAGTGTGATAAATATTTAATGGGGACATACAGGGACATACAGGGGAACCTCCTTCCATATCATGAACATTCAGGCAGGAAAAGATTTTTATTTGAAATTGCTTTCCAGCTGTTGTCCCACCTCCTTTATTTGAAAGGTATTTCATTGTTACAGAGGAAAAGTTTGAATGACTCGCCTTCGGTCACGTAATTAATATGTAAGTGATAGAGCAGGGCTAACTCCCACCTTAGGTTCCCATAATAGATACTGGCTAATGAAGTAGCATTTTCTATCACCCATTCAATAGTTAGTTATTCTCAGCCTTTGATATGTCAGGGGCCATGTTTGGGACTGGAGGCTAGGTCACCTCAGTGGATAATGTCCCAGGGCCTCTGGCCTCCTAAGATCAGACCCCAGTGGAGGACTGGAGCACCCTCATTCAGCTGATCACTGGTAGCTTCAAGACTGAAACAGATGTCTTCTATTTAAGCTTCCAGAAGGTTTGGTATTGATTTTACAGAATTTCTGGAACTCATCTGCTGTGTGGGCCTGAGCATATTGTTTCACTGCTTCAGAAAAGAAGGGGAAAAAAATCTATAGTCACTTCTGAGCCAAAGTCTACCATGTGTTTATCAAGAAATATCTCAGGCAAAGCATCTTGTGCTGGGTTGATGGTGCCTAAAATAGCTACTTTTTTCTTTCTTTTTTTTTAAGATAATAAGGATTACTGTAACTGCAAGAATGCTTTTCTTTGGGATTACCGAATGGAGAGAGAAACCATTTTCATAGCAGTTTGCATGGTGCTTTCATGAGAGAAAGTTTCTTGACCCAAATATGTGAAATCATTAGGTGGGCGCAGGTGCACAAACGTTCTCAGGCCCCAGGATGGCTCGCGTGGACCCGTTTGAGTCTGTTGGTCAGCGTTAGGCTGGGCCCACGACAGAGGTCTCCTGGTTAGTGATTCTAAGCACTGCAGTTACCATGGAGTGTGGACAAGGCTTCAGAGAACCCCAGAAGAAGGAAATCTAGTGCTTTCTTAAAGCCAGTGCTAGAGGAGGAGTTGTAGAGCCTATCTCGGTTGGCCGAATGTTGGAGGCTTTCCCCTCCTGTCCCTTTGTTTACGTGAGGGTGGGAACGTGGAGAATGATAACCTGAGAAGGGATTTGTGTCTGGCAGTGCCCATCCCTGCTTTGCAGGTTGTCACGTTCTGGAGCTGCAGGGGAGCCTAATTTGGAAGCGGGAAGCGCTCACAGATCGGAGGGTGCCACAAGGATATGGCAGCCGGCATGCCATAGATGCTCAACGCTGCCGTTCTCCCTGCTTCCCAGTATCCCCGCCCATTCCGCCGGCATGTTCTGTGCCTCTGCCCTGCTGGCAGCAGGGCGATGGCTAAAACTCAAGCTCTGGGTCAGACAGACCTCGATCACTTATCCTCACTTCCTTTCCCTTCTACTCCCATTGTTGAACCTGAAGCAAATGACTTGCTTTCTCTGTTCAGTCAGTCTGTCTTTAAATCTTTAAAAGCGGATAATGTACAGATTCTACAGGATTATTGAGGGATTAAATGAGATCATGGAAGGAGGTGCTAGTCAATGCCAGGCACATGGTAGGTACCCAAGCACGTGACCTTTCCTCCCTCTTGTACGTCCTGTGTGTGAGTTCAACGGTGAGGTTCTGGGCATGGCCGGGTTTGCTGTCCGGGTCCCAGCCTCCTGAGGAATGCGTGCCTGCCTGATGCCGTCTTCAGTAACAGAAAGAGGTGCCCCTCATCCCACCCCTGCCCCAGGCTGAGGCTCAGCACCCTCCTCAGTTGAACCTAATCTAGTAAACCCGGCGGGCTGTTCCTGAGCCCCCTTTCTAGCCCCCAAACCCCACATCACAAACATTTGGGGAATTGCACCCAAAGCCAGTCCATGTGCCTCCTCCTTTGGCGGTCAAGGAAGCCACTGCAACTTCAGACTGGAATCCACAGCTTCCGTCCTCATCTCCTGTCCCTCTCCTCTGCTGGCCTCTTCTCTTCCCTCCTCTTCTTTACTTACTGTGACTTGGGGACATAAAGCAAGAAGGCTCCTTTAGATGTAGGTTCTCTACCCCACTCCTGCATCCTCTGAAGACATGTTGCTATGATTGACACAGTTCTTTCTGAGCACTTCCCAAGTATAGGCACCGGGCTAATTGTCTAAAACAAAAGCAAAATGTCCCCCTAGAAAATGTCTCTACTGTGTTATATTTTGGAAGAAGTGATGGATTGTTGGGTTATTTTCTACCTTCGGATGTGGTCCCCTCCAGTCACATCTGATCCAGGAATAAACTGCCATCGACCCTGTGGGTGTTAGACTGCATTTTCCTAAGTATCTTAGATTATGACATGGTTTGTCTTGCAGCCTCCCTTCTATCTGCCCCACCCTTGCGGGATGTCGTTATTGATATAGAAGACACCAAGCCATTGCTGGCTTCTAAGGTAGGCTTCAGAACTGGCCACTGGACTCTGTCATTTTATCTGCTGAATTTCTAGGCATTTGGTGAATGCAGTCAACCACGCAATTGAAGTAGTCATTATCAAGCCAGTTTATTGAGAACTGATTAGAGACTAGAATCTGAATTCTACACTCATCGATAGTTATGATGTTATTACGTAGACTAATGGTCTTCAGCTCTCACTACTCAGACACCTGGGGTACTTAAAATAATGCTTATGCAGACCCCAGCCCCAGGCCCCAAGAAGGAGAAGAACCTAGACACGGGTACAATTTCAAATCTTCCCAAGTGATTCTAACGTGCGTGCAGCTCTGAGAATCACGGGTGTGGACAGGCTGAGTAATATGATTTGCTAGAAAGACAAGTTTCAGGAGCAAATTTACCACAGTGCAAATTTCAGAACAGGGAGGTGTGCAGAATGCCAGGGTTTTTTCCCTCCATGAAGCAGAAGTGTCGTGGATTTTTAATGACTCTATTTGTCAGTACGTGAGACACCCCAGATTTTCATATCCGCTGTGGTTTTAAAGTGAAGAAATTGATGGAAATACTCACTCAGGGTCCTATTTTCAAGCCATTGCAACCACTTCTACAAGGATGAAAGGGAAAAAGAAGCCTCAGCCCAGAAAAAGCAAACACCAAACATCCCCCTGTTTCTCTTGGCATCTATGATGAGCTTTCACAGCACGTTTCAGTGTGCACACTGGCCCCAAAGGCTCATGATTGCACTGTAATATGTTATGTCCATAAACAGTACCTTTAGAAAACCCACTTTCTTCCCACTGCGTTGGAGTCACTAACAACTGGACTGTGTTGAATGTGGTCTCCACAGCCAGCGCTGTGCAGCAGTGTGTTTGAGGCTACTCGCGGGGGCTCCCGCACAGTGGCAAAGGCGGTATCCAACTCTCCACCCCACAGGGAAGCTGCCAGGTCCAGCTTGTAAGCAACCTCACCTCTTCCCAGTAAGACAGTAGCAGCCTGGGAAGCGGTGACTAGATAGAAGATCCTTCCCGTCGAGTTCTATAGCCAGTCTATAAAAAGACTGTTTAAGATCTGGGTCTGTGAAGTGCCTGCGGCTTTGCAACCTCCCATTGTCCGTCAGTTGCCATCACATACCTTGGTGTGCTCAGGAACCCCGAATACCATGGGGGAGCACGGAGAAGAATTAAGGCAGTGATCTCTGTGAATCCTAAATCCTTTCAATCATTTCTTTTTCTTTTTTTTAACTTTGTTTCTTGAACCAGCCAGTGATGTGGTAATTTAGGCAGCTGGATCCCACATGGCTGACTGCTTGGTTCAAATCCCAGACCTGGAGGCTTGGAAAACATGCCAGGCACGTGTGCATGCATGCCCCAAATCCCAAAAGGACAATTGAGTTGAAGGGTGGTCACATGACCAGCCCCCATGGGGGCGCTTTTTCACTTTTCCTCTCTCTCTCTCCTCTCTGTGTCTCTCCGGTAAGTACACAAACCCTATAACACATTTAAAATTTTTTTTTGTTTCTTTATTCATGATAAAGTAGATGCACATACACATGAGAGTGAGAGATTGAAGGATGAGCACCCTCCATTGGGTCTGGTCATGCCACAACACCCCTTCTTGGGTCCTCCAGCCCGTTGACTTTTGGGCACTCACACATGTGCTGGGCATGCTTCAGGCTGACCAGGCCAGGGATTTGAACTGCAGTCGCCATGCCAGATCTGACTTTTCTTAAGCAGTGTGTTACCACTGCACCACGGAGTTGGCCCATCACTCACTTCTTAGCAATAGTTAACAGAAGACTAGGCTAACGCAACAGGCCATGTGAGAGCTCAGTTTGCACCATAGGACTGAACAGGGCAGCAGGGCTGGATTGAGGGTGGGGGCAGAGGCCATCCCTACTGCCCCGGGAATGACTTTAATCTGCTTGTTCCTCTAACGCCTAGTCGAGGTACACTGTGTTGATAAGAAAGGGTTGTTGGAGTCTCCTTCAAACACCTGAGCCCACCTGTTCATCAAGGTAGACGTGGCACATCTGTGCAAAGCTGAGTGTGAACGAGCCAGTGACAAGCTTGCTGATGTCCTGTATGACATGAATGTGTAATGTACATGTAATGTACATGTGTTCCCACTAACTTGACTCAGGCCTTGGGTCTGGGCGGAATGAGTCCAAACTAACTGCCGTTGCTGGGGGCTGGAAGCTGTGGTGTGGGTGTCAGTCTCGTGCTCCAAAATTCATGGTGTCACCCTGTGATGTCCATGGGAGCACTTCACAGATAGGCTCGGCGACCACAAGAAAAGTGAGGCGTGTTGGAGGCATGTTGATCAGGTGCTAGCCAGACAGCTGGACAGTCCTACCTGGCCATCTCAACGATTACCTTCCAATTCCAGTGCTTAAGCAGTATGTCAACAGCACTCAGCAAAATGGCCTCTCCGACGACAGTGCATGTATGTATGATAAGACAATGCATGAGCTGCCTGGGGCTGCACGAGCTTGGTCTGAACACTGGAGTTCTTCCAGATTCTTTCTATTAGGAGATTTTGGAGAGAAAGATGACTTTCAACACACATGACTGTCTTAAGCCTCAGGGGAAAATCTGTGCCATTCAGTGACCTTCTCACTGTCGGTTCATCGCCGGATACAATAAAGCAAGTTCCGTCCGTAACTAATGAGCAAGTCGGCACAGATAGTCTCTCCTACTAATCTAAATTTCAAATCAGCAATTTATCTGGAATAATATTATTTATTTATTTATTTATTTATTTATTTTTGATTTACTAGAAGGTGCATGTGTTTGCCAAAGAGAGAAAGAGAGGGAAAGTGATAACCCCGCCCATGGGGCTGATCGCATCACAATTCCTTCTCCCCCCTTTTCTCCTTCCCATTTTGTGGACACACATGCGCATGTGCCAGGTGTGTTTTTCAAGCTGCCAGATCCAGGACTCAACTGAGGAGCTGGCCGTGTGGGAGCTAGCCACCTTAACCACTGTGCAACCGGCTGACCCAACGAATGCTCTTTAAGTCATTGACTGTTCTTCTTCTGGGAAGTTTTGAGTTACTGAAAATAGATGTGCATGAACAGTCTTTAGAAATCTGAATTCAGGAACCCTTGAGAACGGGCGAGCACTTTTGGTATAAAATCCTCTCTCCAAAATCTCGATTCCACTGTGGTGCTTTAACCCTTAATCTTGCTTTGGTATGAATCTAATAGAAAGAATTGACCCATCTGCCTCTCTCTGCCTCTCTTGGAAGTTCTGCTGGACAAAGTCAATCTGGAAAATTCTGAGGGGCACCTACAGGAAAAGCCCCATGGGACTGCACACACACACACACACACACACACACACACACAGAGTAGCTGTGGGAAGTGCATCTGGTCTCTCCTCATAGTGAAATGACCTTGAAGTTAGGATTTCAGAATGGAGGTCTGCGGTGTTTTTTTTAACTGCCACTGAGAGTAAGCTTAGCTAATGTCGCTGCAGGTACCCGGAAAACTCAAGCCCCTACACCCCAATTCTCTGTTCTCCCATGTCCCGGATATGCCCCGAGACTGGGGTAGATTCCCCAAGCAAAAATTCAAGTAGGAGGATTTGGCCAATGAGAAACTTGACACCTTTGGATTAGAACAATTTTTTTTTCTTTATTTTACCAGAAGGCACGTGCACTCACCAGAGAAAAGACAGAGAGGGAGAACGCACCCCACGACGGGCCGTGACGGTGCTGCGACCCCTTCTCCTCCATGTCTTCATCCGTCGGGATTTGGACCACACGTGCACATGTGCCTGGCATGTTTTTCAAGCCACCAGGGCTGGGCTTTGATTTGTGAGATCGGCCAAGTGGATCTACTTCTTTTAACTATTCTTTTAACTACTAGGCCGCAGGCCAGCCTGGTGTTAGAACAATTCTGACGAATGAATTTGGTGCTATAACACAGATGTGGGGGGACGCTTAGTGAGGGGACCTACGTGACGATATTGCATCTGATGATGGGAGTTCTTTGATGTTTTATTATTTTTAATTTGTTATCGGGGACATGTGCTCACCAGAGAGAGAGAGAGAGAGTGAGAAAATTAGCTACCAGGTCTGGGACTTAAACCACGGTCAGCCATTTGGGAGTTCAGTGCCTTAACCACCACGTCTCCTGCTGGCCCCAATGGGAGTGTTTTCAAAGGGGTGAGAACTAGGCCAAGTTGTAGATACACTTCAGGAGCTAAGAGAATGAGGAGTCTGGGGCAGGAGCTGAGCAGTTCCACGCTCCACTACTCGTGTGACCGTGTTACAGACGGTGAGACTGTCTAACTGGAAACGTGAGACATGGGTTCTACCTCCAAGCCTTTCATTTTGATACTGTGTGTACCCTTTTGCATAGTTTCAGAGGAGAAGCCAATACGGTGTATTAAATAATAGAATCATCTTGACTTTAGTCATTTAAATAATCCATCAAGGTGTGGATAACAGAAAGCATGCATGAAAAATAACTTCTCTTCTCTTTCTCTTTCAACCCAATGCCCGTGGGGTCTCCATGTCCGTGTGATCTGGTACATGGCTTGCCCCCCTTCCTGACTACATGTGTGCTCGAGCAGCTGACAGAGAAGGTAACTATTGTACATATTTTGCCACATTTAAGATTCGTGTATTTGGGCAAACAGGTAGCGTAGTGGTTAAGGTTCTAGACTCTCACATGGCTGACAGTGGTTCAAGTCCCAGACCTGGCAGCTTGAAAATCACACCAGGCGTGTATGCATCAGTGCCCAAAATCCCAAGAAGAGAAAGGAGGAGAAAGGATTGCAGTGTGGCCATCCCCCCTGGGGGGTGATTTCTCATTTTCCCTCTCACTGTCTCTGTCTCTCTCTCTTCCCGGCAAGCACACACACCTTAAGGCAAAAACCTCTTAAAAGCAAAAAAAGTAAAGTGGATTCCAGTATGAGTTTATTTGGTGCAAAAAATTTTGAAATCCTTGCATAGTTTTTCATGCCGCACTTTTTTTCATGACCTTTTTGAAGGCCTCTCATATAAACACATGTATATGTACACGTGTACGTGTACGTACACATGTGTGTGTTTGGGTACACACATACACATATGTGCTCCTCCTCTCTGCCTGCTGAATATGAGACTGTGTTATCGGTGACATTTTGTGCTTTCGGCCACATCACTGTGTAGGTCTGCCAGGGGTCTATTCTTGTTACACATCTGAGTGGAAGCCTCATGTCATTTGTTAATTTTCCACAAGTGCCCCCGAGGCTGTCCCTTCTGTCCAACTAAGAACCAGTCATCCAAGCCAGAGCGTCACAGCAGTGGTCACACCTTGGAACTGGGGGGGAACACACCGGAAGCCAGGTCTTACTGCAGGCTGGTTGAATCCAACTGTCCGAGGGTAGGTCGGGAGCCACTGGTCTAAATGAACCAGAATGCCTCCCTACTTTTTACAAAGTGTTTATTTTATTTATTTCTCCCTGAGTGAGAGAGACAGAAACGGAGAGACAGAGAGGCAGTGCTTCCACCAGGGTCGTGATGCCGCCACCCACACCGGCTTCGGCAGCCCTGGGTCACGGGCACGTGCTGGCAGGCATGGTTCGGGAAGTCTCCAACCATAAACCTTGAACCTCCGTGTGGGAGGTTCACAGAGCATCCCGTTTTACCGTCTGGCCCCTATGAAAGGGCTTTCTGTACTGTAAGTGCCCTGGGAGGGGTCTCTTCCCCAAGGCGTACCACACGTGGGAAGTCACCGTTGTGTCTAGCGCCCTGGGTAAACTGGAGCATGTAGAGTCCAGACAAGGCCTCCAAGGCCTCAGGCAGCCAGCCTGCAGGCCCTGACTCTGTCTGACCAGACGCCCCAGGGCAGAATTTGCCCAGGGAAGAGCAGCAGGCAGGGAAAGGCCTGGAAGTAAGTGGGCGTTTCCACTGTGAGGAGTAGAGGCCGTGGAAGCACCACAGGCAGGAGACTGACAGCCACATGGGAGCTGAGCCCTGAGCCTGAATGCTCGACCTCAGGGTGGGCCCAGACCATGCGCTGGGTGCTGCACAGGGGACAGCATGGGGGCTCTAGCCACGCACTGTGGGTGTGTCCCAGCTCTTCACGTGCCTGCTGCAGGACTTTAGCAACTTATTTCATGCGCCCTACCTAGACTTGGTCCCTTCTGCTCTAAAATAAAGCCTTGGTTTTGTTCAAAATTTTCTTAGTGAGATAATAAACGAGTCCGTCAAAATGAAGTAAACGTATAGGAGTCAGCAGGTGGCGAGGCGCCGGACTCCCACATGGCAGACTGCAGTCTGAATCTCAGACCCAGTGGCTTGAAAAGCATGCCAAGTGCACAGACATGTGTACCCAGAATCCCAGGAGGAGAGTGGGGAAGACAGATTGTGCAGTGGCCTTCTCCTGGGGCGGGGGGGTGATTTCTCCCTTCCCCTCTCTCTGGCAAGTACATGCACCCTATGGCAAAAACCTTAAAAGAAATTAAGTAAATATATGCAGAGCTCAGCACAATGCTTCACGCTGGTAAGCTCTCGTTATCAGTACAGTCTACAAGGCACCATCATGCCTCCTTCCCAAGGGTTTAAACTCACTGCACGCTTAATCATTGAAATCTGCCCACCCCTCCGTACTTGTGTAAGTTTCAAAGCTCTTTCTCCTAATGACCTTACTTGATTTCTTTTTTCTTTCTTCCTTTTTTGGAGGTTTTTGCTATAGGGCACATACACTCGCCAGAAAGAAAAAGACAGAGACAGAAAGTGAGAAATCACCCCCCAGGGGGATGGCCACACTGCAATTCCTTCTCCTCCATTTCTTCTTGGGATCTTGGGCAGTGTCCAGCATGAATTTAAGCCACTGGGTTCAGGACTTGAACCGTGGTCGACAACATGGGAGTCCAATGACATAGCCACTATGCCAATTGCCAGTCCCCTTATTTGATTTCTTAAACAATCTTCTGAGGTAGATGGAGGCAGGTAGTGATATCCCATTTGGTGAATGAAGACACTGACGCTCAATGATATTGAAGGCTTGCCCAAGCTGGTATGGCTGATAACATAAGGGAATGGCATCTAACATAAAGAATGGAACTTGGTGGACCAGCAGATGGCGTACTGGTTACATCGCTGGACTCTATGTAGTTGACCACAGCTTGAGTCCCAGACCCAGTGGCTTAAAACTCACGCTGGGTACATGTGTGTACATGCCCAAGATCCTGAGAGGAGAATGGAAGAAAAACTCAGATCGCAGCCTCGCCATCCCCCCCGGGGAGGGGGTGTTTTCTTACTTTCTGTTGCTTTCTGTCTCTCTGTCTCTTTGGTGAGTGCAAGGGCCCTATAGCAAAAATATCTTCTAAGGAAAAAAAAAAAAAAAAGGAAGAACAGAATTTGAGTTGAACCCATTTTTCCAACCTGCAGCTTAGTGAACTTTCTATTACAATGCATTTCTGACTAAAAAGGCTAAGAAAATGAGATCATGGAAAACACGTGGAGGTTTTATTTGTATAAGTATATGATCTCAAATCAATAGGATAAAAAAGGAAACACAGTCAATAGAGTGTGTCGATGGGCCACGAGAAAGTCATCTGGTAGAGCTGCGGCCATGAAAGCCAAACGCACTTCCTTGGCCCAGGGTGGTCATTTCACCCCCGGCTCCTGACAGGGGAGTGTGACTGCCTTGTCCACTGTGCATGTACACCAGAGTCTTGCAATCTCCTCTAGGACAGGAGCAGAGTACCTGTTATTCATCTATTACATTTGGGTTTTTCTGCATGGATTGGAAATCCAAGTTCTCACTAAAGGCTTCTCCCTCCGTTTGTCATGTCCGTAGGAAGAAGAAATCGTTGATTGGTGGAGTAAATTTTATGCTTCCTCGGGGGAACATGAAAAATGTGGACAATACATTCAAAAAGGCTACTCCAAACTCAAGGTACCTGTGTCCCCGCTGCTGTGAGTGAGGGACTCAACATCGGTTAAAATGCCACAGGGAGAACTGAGATGACCAGGAGGTCCCAGAGTGGGCGTCGAGGGGAAGCGGGGAGGGGATACTTCTGGTCTTCTGGTGAGAACTCTTATAGTAGGTTTTGACCTTGCCAAGATTCTGGGAGCTGGAGGACAGCTATCAAGTTATGGCTATGTGACCGTCACTTCAGCACTTGGGACCTATGGCAGAGAATTGAGGATAAGTTGGCATCACACTGGTTAGGTCAAAATGGTCAAGCCTTACTCAGGGGCCAGGAAGTCATATGCTCTTTTCAGAACAACATGAGATGTCAGCGTGCTTCATTCTGTTCTCTGGACAAGGACAGGTGTCACCAGCTGCAGAGTCGATTCTGTCCTATGCATTCAGCACAGCCTCACACCTCGGGCACGTCCTCCAGGAGGAAGACAAGCTATGAAGCTAGGCAAGGCTGGCTGGCTGTGATCTTTCTGTTCATGTTCTGAGTTTGCCATCCTACATTCAACTTTCCAGCCTATAATGCACTCACATAGAAGTGAATATTAAAGTTTTCCAAACAAAGAAAAAAATGAGACCTAGTCATTAAAGGAACTGTCCCCATCGAGATGAAAAAGCCCACATCTTTTTATGTTATTGTCATCACATGTTAATGTAGCTTAAGAAACACCAGTGGGGGACCAGCAGATGGTGTAGCGGTTACAATGCTGTACGCCCACATGTCCGACCACTGTTCAAGTCCCGGATCCAGTGGCTTTGAACTCACAATTCAGTAAATGAGGTTTTTTTGTTTGTTTGTTTGTTTGTTTTTAGAGAATTATCTTATTTAACTTTATTCATTTATTTATTTTAATTTGACTAGAGAGGGACAGAGCCAGAGAGAGAGGAAGTGAGAAAGCAAGCCACGAGGTCCAGGACTCAAACCATAGTCGGCCATGTGGGAGTCCGGCATCCTTAACCACCATGCCACCTGCCGGCCCCATCAGTAAATGAGTTTTAATAATTGCATCACCTATGTAAATTACTGCCCCAAACAAGACAAAGAACATTTCCATTACTACAGCAAGCTCCTTCATGCCCCTTATCAGTCAATTCCCCACAACCCTCATCTCTCCACGAGGCAGCTGATCTGATTTCTATCATCATAGATTGGTGTTGCTTATTTTTTAGTTAATATAAATGAGCTCATATCGTGTGTATTCTGTATATGTCTTTATCCCCACATTGTGTTTTGAGATTGATCATGTTGCCATGTGTTTCAGTAGTTTGTCCCTTTCATTGTTCAGATATGCCACAATTTTTATATCCATTCTCTTGAAGATGGACCTGCTCTCGACATTCTTATACTAGGTGGACATGTTTTCATTTCTCTTTGGTAAATACCTAAGTACACAATTTCTCGATCATATTTAACTCCATAAGAAACTGCCAGACATTTTCCAAAGTGGTTATGTCATTCTACACTACCACCAGCTGCACTGAGAGTTCCAGTTGCTCCATCTGCATCCTCATGCTCATTTGATATTGTCAGTTCTTTTGACTTGAGAATCCTCCTGCATTTCAATGAGAAATTAAGAATCCATTGATGATTTTCAGATATACAACTGTGAACTAGAGGATGTACCAGAATTTGAGGGCCTGACAGACTTCTCAGATACTTTCAAGTTGTACCGAGGCAAATCAGATGAGAATGAAGATCCTTCTGTGGTAGGAGAGTTTAAGGTGAGTCAAATGTGTATATCATCCTGTTTGAAATAATTTTTTAGTTTCTTTTTTTATTTTAAAGAATTATTTTCTCTAACTTTATTTATTTCTTTATTTTAATTTGACCAGAAAGCGACAGAGAGAGGGGGTGGGGGAGTGAGAAAGCAAGCCGCCAGTTCTGGGACTCGAACTGTAGTCAGCCATATGGGAGTCTAGTGCCCTTAACCACCATGCCACCTGACAGCCTCCATTTTTAGCTTGTTTATAGAAATAGAATAAAGGGGACCAACCTCTGGGCAGGGCCCCTGTAGATACTAGAAGATGCTAACAAGAAAGAGCCAGAACACTCAAAGCCCTTCTCGGTATCTTTCTCTATCCCTGCTCATGCCAACCGGTTTTGAATACTATAGCCCCCACCTCTCCAAGTCTAGTTCCTTCATGCCAACCTACTGCCCCTCCCAGCAATCAGGGCATCATTGTAACAACTCCCCAACTGACTATCCTGGCCACCTTTCCTCAAACTATTCCAGTCCATCCTCAGTGTAGGCAAATCTGACCCTGTTTCTTGATAAAGACATGGCTTAGGTCACCAAAGATCAAGTCTGAACTCATTCTGAAGGCAAGCTGGCCTGTCACGAGCAACACGTCCCTCTGGCTGCCCCTCCTCACACACCCCACCCTCTGCCTGGGAGAACCTTTCCCAAGTCCAAATACACTTTGTCCCCCAACAGCGCAGAGCCTTGTGACAGGCTGCCTTCCCTGGATGCCCTTCCCTCTCCGTGGTCTGACAAAGTCCTACTCATTTTCAAAATGCTAGCTCAAATGTCATGCTCTTTGCCAAGTGTTCCCTGACTGCTTCGGGCAGCGTGACTCACTGCTGCTTTGGGCTCCCACAGGTCTGGGTTCATGCTGCCATGAAAGCACCTTTCACATTGTATCTGCTCCCATGACTCCATGACTGCCTCTCCCTCCAACCTCACTTGGCAAGGCATGGCCCAGATTGCTGCTACTTCTTAATCCTTTGCCAGTAGCAGACATTGCTAATGGATCAAAGGATTATCCCCGACAGTCTCAAATCCTGCTCAGTACAGCCTCCCACCAAGCAATCAAAGGTGGCATGACAGTCAACCCTCCTCAACATCCATATGCCAGGCTGGATTCCCTGAGTTCATTGTTGGGTCTCCAACACCTGGCCCATAGTAGGTGCTTACTTCATGCTGTTCTATCAAATGGCGACAGCTGGAACTAAGACACACATGCTCTGAACCCAGCGTCCGTGCTTTCCTTTGCATATAAACTACAAAGCCTCTTCAGCTGGCCTGTCGGCTCACTCCTTCAAAAAACATTTCTTGTGTCCCTGCTAGATGCTGAGCCCCATGTTAGACTATGGAGACAGGGTGATAAACGAGACCTACAGCCACCACTGAAAGCTCACCGTCTAGTGAAGGACATAGACAATGAACAGGCCACTTGAACGTAGAGGTCCCTGCTCTGACAAAAGCGAGTGGGAGTTAGGGGAGAGGACACCAGCCCAGGGGCTACCAGGGAGACTTCCTGGAAGAAGTGATACCTTTCAGCTGAGACCCAAAGGACCGAATGTTGAGCTTGCCTGGGAGTGAGAGGAGATGCACGGGGCCTTTGCAGGAAAAGGGAAGTCACCCTTGTACTTGACTGGATTTAAAAAATAATGGCTCGTGTTCTCATCTTCAAAG